TGTTTTTCCATGGTTTTATTTTCACTGGGAATCCTTGGAATGATCATCCCATTCCCAGTTTAAACTGGGATCAGGTCTTCCCAAAATTCAATCCTGAATTTTTAGGTGAATCCCAACATTTCATCCTATTTTAGTTTGTTTGTTTTAGGAGGATCCTAAAATTTGATCCTAAGTTTTCAGGAGAATCATAAAACTTGATCCTAATTTTTTAGGGGAAAATCCCAAAATTCCATCCTGCATTTTTAGGTGATTCCAAACATTTCACCCTCATTTTTTGGGGGGGAATCCCAACATTTCATCCTGATTTTATTTGTTTCAGGAGAATCCTAAAATTTGATCCCTAAATTTTTTTAGGGGAATCATAAAACTTGATCCTAAATTTTTAGGGGGAAATCCCAAAATTCCATCCTGAATTTTTAGGTGAATCCAAACATTTCACTCTCATTTTTTGGGGGGGAATCCCAACATTTCATCCTATTTTTGTTTGTTTGTTTTAGGAGGATCCTAAAACTTGATCCCTAAAATTTTTTTAGGGAATCATAAAACTTGATCCTAAATTTTTAGGGGGAAATCCCAAAATTCCATCCTGACTTTTTAGGTGAATCCAAACATTTCACCCTCATTTTTTTGAGGGGGGGAATCCCAACATTTCATCCTGATTTTGTTTTAGGAGAATCCTAAAATTTGCTCCTAATTTTTCAGGAGAATCATAAAACTTGATCCTAAATTTTTAGGGAGAAATCCCAAAATTCCATCCTGAATTTTTAGGTGAATCCAAACATTTCACCCTCATTTTTTGGGGGGAAATCCCAACATTTCATCCTGATTTTATTTGTTTTTGGAGAACCCTAAAATTTGATCCTCATTGGTTTTTTTTTAGGGGAATCATAAAACTTAATCCTGTATTTTTAGGGGGAATCCCCCAAAAATTCCACCCTCCATTTTTTTAGAGGAATCCTACAATTTGCTGGTAACTTTTTAGGGGAACCCAAACCCTTCACCCTGAATTTTTGGGGTTTCTCCGGTCGGGGTCGCGCTTTTCCTTCTGGATGGTGGGTTTTTTTGGTGTTTTTTCCCATTATTTTTTCCCAGCAGCCAAGGGGCTGGTGAGTGAAAAAGCAGCAGGAAGAGGAAAACTGGAAGAAGAGCTGGAATCTCCATCATCCCACAACCTGGAAAAGGAGAAAACCTTCGGCTCCAACCGCCGGAAAACCAAGCGCCCGGATAAAACCCTTCCAGAAAGCACCACCAAACCATCCCAAATCCTAGATATCCCCAAATTGGATCCTTCCCAACCTTTCCATGGATCATCCCCTAAAGGATCTTCAAGGGCTCGACCCTTTGGCTGCTCTGATTGTGGGAAAACGTTCCCGTGGGCTTCCCATTTGGAAAGACACGGGCGGGTTCACACCGGGGAACGTCCCTTCGGTTGCCCGGAAGGTGGCGAAACCTACAGCCAGAATTCCCACCTTCTCCAGCACCAAAGGACTCACTCCAGCGACCGACCCCACAAATGTGGCCACTGTGGCAAACGTTTCGCTGGCCAAGCCCAGTTGGTGGCCCATCACCGTGGCCACCTGGCGGAGAAACCCCACCAGTGCCAGGATTGTGGGAAGAGCTTCGTCTGGGCTTCCCACCTGGAACGTCACCGCCGCGTCCACACCGGGGAGAAACCCTACGAGTGCCCTCAATGTGGTGGCACCTTCAGCCAAGGTTCCCACCTCACCAAACACCTCCGGAGCCACTCGGGGGAGGGTCCCCACCCTTGCCCATCCTGTGGAAGAACCTTCGGTCAAAGCTCCGACCTGACCCGTCACCGTCGCCTTCATTTCGGGATCAAATCTTCACGTTGTGGGGATTGTGGGAAACCCTTCCGGGCCGGGTCGGTTTTGACCCGTCACCAACGCTGTCACCGACGTCGCCAACGTCCTCATCGTTGCCTGGATTGTGGGAAAGGTTTTGTCTGGGCTTCCCACTTGGAACGTCACCGGCGGGTCCACACGGGGGAACGTCCCTTCCCCTGCGGCGACTGCGGGGAACGTTTCTCCCAAAAAGCTCATCTCCTCCAGCACCACAAGACACACTCCACCCACCAGCCCAAATGTTTCGGGGAGGTCCCCCCCTTCCCGGCCCCCCGACGGGGTCACATCGCCCCGAAAAGCTTCTCCTGTGAGGATTGTGGGAAGGGATTCGCTTGGGCGTCCCACTTGGAGCGTCATCGTCGCGTCCACACCGGGGAGAAACCCTACGAGTGTCCTGAGTGTGGGGAGGCCTTCAGCCAGAGCTCCCACCTCACCAAACATCGCCGGAGTCACCTCCCCAAAAGGCTGGGACCTCCAAGTTCTGCTCCTCTCCGGGAGGTGGGGGACGGGGGAGAAGCTCCAGGGCAGCAGGGGGATGGTGGGACCACCCGGGGCTTGTAGAGGAACCTTGGAGGAACAAGGTGTCAATCGTTGTGAGGGAGTGAGGAACCTTGGAGGAACAAGGTCTCCATCATGGTGAGGGAGTGAGGAACCTTGGAGGAACAAGGTCTCAATCATTGTGAGGGACCTTGGAGGACCAAGAGCTCCTCCATCATTGTGAGGGACCTTGGAGGACCAAGAGCTCCATCATGGTGAGGAACCTTGGAGAGGACCAAGAGCTCCATCATTGTGAGGGACCTTGGAGGACCAAGAGCTCCATCATAGTGAGGAACCTTGGAGGACCAAGAGCTCCTCCATCATTGTGAGGGAGTGAGGAACCTTGGAGGAACAAGGTCTCAATCATTGTGAGGGACCTTGGAGGACCAAGAGCTCCATCACCATCATGGAGTCAGGAACCTTGGAGGACCAAGATCCTCCTCCATGGATGGAGAAGGAGGAACATTCCTGCAGGAAAACTCATCTCCAGGACCCATGGAAGGACCCCAAGTGACATTCCAGGGACAGAAGGTGGCACCAGGATGGACGTGGGGACACTGGGGTGGGATTTCTCCTTCCTGATGTTTCCCAGCAGCCACGTTGACCCCAGAAATGGGACATCTGGGAAGAGGGAACCTCTTCCTGAGGGAAAGGGGGACATTCTCCACCACGGGGAGAAGGTGGAGCTGGGAATTCTGCCCATTCCCAAGGGAATAAAAACAAAGGGGGGGGGACACACACGACTCCCCTACCCTGTGTCTCCCTCATCCTTGTCCAACATTCCTGGGCTCCATCACTTTTCCTGGTGGGAAACACCATGAGGATCTTCTCCAGAGACAAAACCACGCTGAGACAGGAAGATTTTGGGGTGTTTTTTTGGGGGAGGGGGTTGATGAACCATCTTCTACTTTTATTCCCTGCTCCCTCACCCCCCAAAACTGAGGAATTCCAGCCCCTTCCATCCATAAAATTCCCAGCCC